TAAAATTAAGAGATAAGATACATGTGGTAAGTTAAATAATAATACAAATGATGAAATAAAATGAAAAGATAAGATATGTGTTTCAAAAAGAAAAGATAAAAGATAAAAATAAATAAAATCTGTTGATGAATCATTTCTAAAGTATTTCTGAACTGTTATTGAATTATTTGTGAACTATTATTGATTTCAGGGCTAATTGTTCATTAATAATCTTAGAACATTGCAAAAATATTATTGAATTATGACTGAACCCATAACTAATACACTAATTATATTACTCAAAATCACATGTTATTTAAAGATTAATTAATTGGTCACATTTTTCAAGTTTGAAAAATTATGAAATTAAAGAAATTTATATTATTACGATAATATTATTAATATTTGAAAATTTTTTAAATATATTAAAAAACTATTTGATATTAAAGATGATAGTTACAAATAGATTATAGTAATCTGTAATGAAGTATCCTATTATCATATATAAATAATCAAAAAAGACTTTTCTTGACTTATATTAATTCCAGATACTCTTTATGAAGAGATAAATATATTAAAAGTATTTATCAAATTAAATTAAGAAATTAATATAAGATATTTTATTCAATATCAGAGTTATTAAACTGAGAGTCAACTATAATTTTTTAAAAAATATTCTAATTATTATAAGTCATAAAATTCAATATATAATATATATAGGTATGTAATGACTTCTAAGTTAATATAACTATATATTATTTTTAAGAAAAGTTCTTCTGTTGAAGATTACTTAAACTGAATTCAAAATCAAACTAAACCTATATTCAAATTAAAATATGAATAAGTCTTTTTTTATTTATAAGCAATTATTAACTTTTATATTGAAGTTTATTTTAATAGATCTTTATTAAGACTTGTGACTAGATAAATATTTATATTAATTTGGTCTGCTTGATATTATCTGATTTACTAATTATTTAAAATTATTAATAAAAAATAAAGACTATGATTAAAATCTAAAATTCATAATCTGATTCAAGAAAAAATTATAATTTTCCAATTTAAATTTTCAAATTAATATTAAGTTTATAATATAATACTAGAAGAAATTAATAAAGCACTCAAATTATTAATTCTTTTTACATCTTTATAGTGATATTGAAAAATTAACATATTTAATTATATTAAATTTGAGAAATTACATATTAATTTTTTTAATATAATAAAATATTTTAAAAGTAAAATATACAAGTCTTATATATATTCTAGCTTTATTATTAAATCAAATTAATTTCAAATTTGAATAAGAAAGATATAGTTTATAAATTCAAATATCTCTAATTGTATTTTTCATAATATCAACAGCAAATAGATATTAAGTAAAAAAATGAAAATTTTAATAAAATTATACAAATGAAAAGAATAGATTTTATTAAAGCAAAACAAATTAAGAAAATATTATTGAATACTTGATAATTAATTTCAATAATAAATGAAGAAGTAAATTATTAAAAAGATAAAAATTTATTAATAAAATTATAACTATTATTCATTATTAATTTTTTAATACTTCTTTTAGGTAATTTATAATAATCATGTTTTTGAGACTTATCAAATTAATTCTGTAATAACTTAATAAATACTCTTCAAGAAGTTAGAAATATATTGTTCAAAAATATTATTAATACTAATAAAGAAATAATAATTAAAAAAGTTGAAATATTTAAAAAAAATTAATAAGAAATATATTTACTATTATTTTTAATAATAAGTTTATAATATTTTTTTATAGATCTCACTAAATTATTGATAAGATATTGAGGAATCTTTACTTATTTTTCCTTTATAAATTACTTTAATTACAAAATATTTTTTGATTATCATATCTCTATATTTCTCTTGATAATATTCTATAAGTTTTTAATAGAATTTAGATCAAAACTATTAAATAGCTAATTAATTATTCTTGAGAAGTTATTTTGAAGATATTCTTTTATTATATCACTTGTATACTTTAAATCATTATCTTATTAGAATTATTAATTATTTTTTAATATATTTTTGATTTTAGAAATATATTTCTTTAGAATATTAATATAGAAAAAACTGATTATATCTTCTTGAAAATAAAAAAAACTTATTTTACTTTTTATATAAAATCTATCTCAAGTATTAATTTTTATTTAGTTTTTTAAGATATGATGAACTAACTATTTATTCTTGTATCAAACTTATACAATATTTTTAAATAGTTAAAAACTTATTTCACTATTTGATTTCAATTATTATTAAGATGATTTTGCATTTATTCTATTCACTTTTTCTTATATATTACCATAAGTATTAGTATTACTATAGAAAGATTTTTATCAAAACTATATTTGACTAAATATTTTGAAAGTGTATTATAAAATAATCAAGTACCTTTTTTGAATAACTTTGTAATTAATATTCTTGAAGATATCATAGAGTTTTTCCAAATAATTTGTCTAATAAATCTTGAGTATTCAGATATGATTTTTGTGAGATAATTACTATATTTTTTGTGAGCTGTACTTTAGATTTTCAAATATTATAATTAGTGATGGGAGCTGCAACTAGTTGTAACTCTGTCACAATTCTCTGATTGACTATCACAACTCTATTATAATTTTCTGATTGGCTGCCACAAGTCACAACTAATTGAGAAGTTATCTTTAATTATAATAAATAATTAATTTCACAATATTTATTAGATGATGTATTTTATCTGTACTTTTGTTCTGAAGTCAGAAATACTTAATAATTTGAACATGAATATTTTTCTTGATCATCAGTATTTTCATTTACACTTTAAAATATATCAATAAAATTTCGCAAAAAAAGAAAGTAAAATGACTCTCATAGTACTGAATATCTTATTTCTTTTTATTTAATTTAGTTTGAATCAAAATAGAGTGAGTTATACCAATTTGATTTTGAATAATGATTATTCAAAAACTTTGCAACACACTGTATATTGTCCAAAAACGTTATTAATATGAATTTTTAGAACTTTTCTCTAATATTCTACAACGATTTCAGAAACTTCCAGAATTTTTTTTACTATCATAAAAAGAATGATCTATATCGACAAATCGGGGAATCTCTGACTGAAATTGATCATAAACATAACTGCCACACATTACAGGTTTGTAATATATACAATGATAAAAAATCCGAATAACATATATACAAATAAAAAAGTCGAAGTTATATCGTTGGAAGCGTGGATGTAAGTTTTGTAGCGAATGCAATCATCACTCGCATCTATATTGCAAAACTTGCAAAAAAGTAGCGGATGGAATATATAGGCGATGTGAATGTGATAATTCTTGAACAATAAATAAAAATAAATTGGAATTAACGATTTGATAAGTAATATTTTTATTTTTCCACGTAAGGTAACATTAAACATGCATGTTATCTTATTTGTGAGATGGGTCACTTTTTTCTGAAATAACTCAAATTCGGTCAATCATCTGACACATATTTCCGATTTCGCTCTATGGGTAACCTAAATACACACAATGTACGTGTGTCAAAATAATGTTTTTAGGTCTTACGTTAAAGATCGTGCAATTTTAACTTTATATAGTGGACTATCTGTAAGACAGAAGGACGAAATTCCTTACAATGTTCGTGTGATCATATATACAGGAACGCAATTGTAAAGCTAGCACGGTAAATAAAATAGATGGATGGATAGATAAATGGATAGATAATATGAAGTAGTTTTATGCTTATTTGATTATGTGTTTTTCAATAAAATGAAATAAATATACATCATCAGGCTTATATAATTTCATTGAAGCATTATGTAAAAACATGCAAGATATGTTTATTCTGTGACATACTAAAATGTAGAATAAATTCACAAGTTCATATATCTCGCAAATTTTCTGGAACCCTCAAAACGCTACGAACATTCTTACCTTTACAAGGTATGAGAATACGATCAATTTTGTCCATAATAGCTTTCTGCTGGACTACTTCGTCCTATGCCAGCAAAAAAAGACATGTCAGGAAATAGAAATAATTATGATGTATATCTACACTATTCACTTACATGAAAAATGGCCATCATCCGCATAATTGCCATATACTTTGACCGTGAATCGAAATCAAATGGCAACTCCGCTGATGCTAACTCATACGCAACAAATTGGCCATCTTCCAGCATGCTAAGGGCATATAATGTTAGCCGATATGCTAAAAATGATAAATGGAAAGGATAAATATAATTATTATTTGATCTTATATAAAGCAAAGCAACAAAAACCTTACCAATAACCTGCATACTAAAAACTTTAATTTTTTTTGCTATATTTACGTCTAGGTCAAGGTGGTTTCTCAAGATGTCCACCAAATTCAATATGTCAGTGTGTAACGTCTTTTTGGTATCGTAAACAGTATGACGAGTTGTGGGATTACTTGGTGGTCCCGAGACTTCCATATGCCAGATTTCTTTGTCATCACTAACACGAATCCCTTTCAATATTTGTATTAAAAATCAGTAATTTATCACAATAATAATACTCACGACTACTAAGCTTAACATATACCCTTTACATCCACCAGTACGATTCCGGAATCAGTTGGTGTTTTTACTATCTTTGCTGATCGCGCATGTGTTTCTATCCAATCAAATTCTAAGGTTCCGAAAGTGGATTCGTAAAACATGAACAATGGAGAAATATGATATATAGTGAATTTTCGCTCTTTGATCGTTCTCGAAAGTGTTGGGAAAACATCAACTAAATTAAAACTATTAAAGAATGTCAAAGTAATCTCATAATGCTAAATTTTTTATATACTCAATAACAGTTTAACACTTACAATTCCATTAACACCTTTTCACAATATAATCTAAACTTATTCACGCTTTCTTCCCCTCCTTCTATTTCTTCTTGGATCGCTAACTTGAAATTTTTTCCCGTTTTCTGTATATATTACAGATGTCAGTTTGGCAACAAATCATTGGTCAATTCATATAAAAACCCACATCTAATGCATTATCAAAGTATTTCTCTAAATTCTCTGTCCAGACTGAAGGTATTCGATCTCGGTATGAGGATATCTCGTCTGCCAAATCTTTTCCTACCAAGTTTTCCAATTCTGATGTATTTATGCCAAATGCGCATATAATCTGGATTGACTCAACGTACCTAAAGATAAATTAATAAAATGGATCTTAAAGAGATAAATATGATGTTTAGCTTGAACCTACCGTTTTACTTTTTCATGTTCTATCATCCTTTTATTTGGTGTTGTTGGTGTCTGGGATATTCCTCTTTGAGGTCTCTGAAAGATACTTTGAAATGCCGTATATTTTGCATTTTCTGAAACAAGGTCCTAATAAAAAGCACAAACATTCTAAGCAACATTCCAACCACTTTCAGAAAAAAATGCCAAAAAATAATTAATACACACCTCAGCAATTTCCTTATGTTTACGCTTATGTTTCAGATTGGTTTTTAATGTTGCACATTCCTGAAAATACTCATTACATGCATTCGAAACGGCCTGTCCTTTCCACGTCTTAGATGCCAGGATTAGCCTTGAATTATATTACTAATATTATGAATCAAGAGAACTGAATAGTTACCTGCATCCAATCAATATAACTCGAACAAAATGCACGAATAGGAGTGCAAACGTTCATCTGGTTATTAATTTGGTCCAAATTGGCCAAAAAAAGCTCTTGGACTTGTTCAAAACTTAATTCCGTCTCTTCACATATTAGCCTGTTCACAAAAGTTTCTAGGCACCATTTGGATGCTGGCTCTTCGGTGAAAAATTTGTGTATACCTAAAATATTTGGACATTTGTAGTCAAAAAACTTTGAGCTCTTTAAGCGTGGTTCTTTGAATATGTCATCCATCAAAACCCAGTGAATAAAAAAATTTGCGTCTATCTGGCGCGAAGCTATTCCAATCAAATTTAGTATAACGTGAAAATCACATTTTTCTTAAATACTGAAACAGAATTATCAGAGTGTAACATAAAATTATCAACTGTTGATAGTATTTTCTTTCCCTCAACATTTTTAGTTTTTCCGACCCACGACTACTACGTCTGGCATCAGCCGGTGGTTGCTTGTGGAAGTGTGAAGTTGAGATATTAATCTCTCTTTACAACCCTATCACACTGTGCCTGGCATCAGCCGATAGTTGTGGTAGAAGTACAAGCAGAATGTGCTCATGCCTGGCATCAGCCGGTGACCGTTCTTGCTTGTAAAGGTAACCATTTGATTGCGTCTGGCATCAGCCGGCAATTTCATGGGTTTTTAATGTTATATCAAAGCGTTATCAAAGCATTTATTTCTCAGGTTAATTATCATGCTAATTTTTGATCTCTTATCAATATTTTAATGACTTTGTATAGTATAACTTGTTCCGAATAGCGACAACTTTAAAATGACATCATATGGAGAAATCATAGGATGAAGTTCGTCTGATTGGCTAATGTAAACAAATTGCCCGGGTAACTTATCAATATGTTTTGATGTACTCTTTGAGAACATAACGTTTCACTGGCAAAAAATTACTGAAAAACTTCATTGTTAACTTTAAAGCATCAATGTTCACCGTGCAAAAGAATCCCAAAAAGATTTCTTAGATACTGAAACAGAATTATCAGAGCGTAACATAAAATTATCAACCGTTGATAGTATTTTCTTTCCCTCAACATTTTTAGTTTTTCCGACCCACGACTACTACGTCTGGCATCAGCCGGTGGTTGCTTGTGGAAGTGTGAAGTTGAGATATTAATCTCTCTTTACAACCCTATCACACTGTGCCTGGCATCAGCCGATAGTTGTGGTAGAAGTACAAGCAGAATGTGCTCATGCCTGGCATCAGCCGGTGACCGTTCTTGCTTGTAAAGGTAACCATTTGATTGCGTCTGGCATCAGCCGGCAATTTCATGGGTTTTTAATGTTATATCAAAGCGTTATCAAAGCATTTATTTCTCAGGTTAATTATCATGCTAATTTTTAATCTCATCAATATTTTAATGACTTTGTATAGTATAACTTGTTCCGAATAGCGATAACTTTAAAATGACATCATATGGAGAAATCATAGGATGAAGTTCGTCTGATTGGCTAATGTAACCAAATTGCCCGGGTGACCGTTCTTGCTTGTAAAGGTAACCATTTGATTGCGTCTGGCATCAGCCGGCAATTTTATGGGTTTTTAATGTTATATCAAAGCGTTATCAAAGCATTTATTTCTCAGGTCAATTATCATGCTAATTTTTGATCTCATATCAATATTTTAATGACTTTGTATAGTATAACTTGTTCCGAATAGCGATAACTTTAAAATGACATCATATGGAGAAATCATAGAAAGACTTTCGTGTGATTGGCTGATTTGCTTAAGATCTACATCGTAAGGATCGATTATACAAATTTAGTAATTCAATACCGTAAATTAATGTACATGCAATCATTTTAAGTAAAGAATTATTTACATTACACTAATTTTATTTATTTTTTTTTCGATTTAATACTGTAGCAAACGAAAATATGAATATGAGTGGTTCTAAGAGAAAACCTGAAAATCGAGGTTTCCAGGTTTCTTTTAACGATACACAGGCAAAATTTAATATGTAATAATGATATGTAATTAGGCGAGGCCAAAAAAAAGTAATGATTATTCAATCAATATCTCGTGGAATTATAATAGAGCAAAAAAAATTCAATTGTAATAACAAAAAATAAACTAAAAAAAATTGCCTATTGCTGTTGAAATTTACGCAACGCCTCCTCTAATGTAATTCTATATATTCTATTGGTTCACTTTCATCATCATCGTCACAGGGAATATTATTTTCTGGATCTTCGACTTCTTGCTGTTCTTTGAAACGTTGCAAGCGTTCTAGTAAAGACTGGACATGTTCATCAATTCCATTTTGTAAGAATGAGAGACAATGCACACACTTGAACCCATTGTTGGTATAACAGGACTTGTGATAAGTGTGACCGCAAGCTAAAACTTTAATCGGATCTGTATTAATTAATAAAGAAATTGGTCAGTTAGACGCATCACAATAATGAAACGGATCTGGCCTATGTAAAGTATTGAATCCTAAAGGAAGATGGCATAATCTTGCTTCTGGCATTTTCATCGCCATTAATGAAATGGTAACATCATTAACTTTTTGCTTGCCCTTCTTCGAAGATGGATTGGGATTCGTGATAATCTGTAATGGAAATATTAACGGTGATTTATTGTAAAATAAATATGTATAGATTTCTGAAAAACACTGCAAAAGAAAACACGCATTTTTTTTTGTTAAAAATGTAATATCTTGGGCAGAATATTCGTAGGCTGCCCATGTAGATGTACGTGCAAAGTTTTCTCTAAAACTGTTGTCGTCTAGATGTAATCGGTTAATATAACGTCCGCATTTGATGATCTGTTGTGCTTCAGTGTATTTCTGTGTGCTTCGACGCAGAAAGCTATGGAATATTTCTACAGTCGCGTCTGAAAACTTTGGAAGTTCAGCCTTGATAGTATTCAAGATAGGGTGACCATTTGACTCCCAGTAGAATACATCTGAAAGAAATATTAACGGTGCCTTGGTATAGTTTCTGCGGCAGAATTTAAGAAATACTATTCACACACGAAAGCAAGATTCTAAGTAAGCATTAAAGTCACCAGATCGAAAAAATACTGCATAAATGTCCAGAACCAGAGGAATCGTATTATCCAGCAGATCTTTGAGTGCAAGATATTCGGCATCTTTGCACAAGAATCCAAATTTTGCTTTCACAATCGTCGAAATTTCCTGCCAAGCACTACGGAAAATCTCTAAAAGGAGATTAATACGCCATGGCTTGGGCTTGTGCGAGAGGCTTTCGGTCTCCAAAAATATAATTGTACATAGCCAAAAAAAAAGGTCAATACTGAAGGAAAATTAATTCATGACTATTTAATGAAATGTGCAAGAGACCTATAATAGGAAGAAAAGATAAAATAGAATTAGTAAGATTCAATCGATCATGATATATAATATACCAAGAGATAGATAGATTTGTCCAGAATAGTATACCCTTTTTGAATATACTACTGCATCGATGGAACATTTATAATGGCATTAATAGCCCTAATATATGCATCTAGAGAATGAAGATTATTTTCTTGTAAGTCTATGAGAATTACATCTTTCATTGAATGAGCATTCCATTTCTCTTTCAATCTAATATCATAACTGTGTACAGTTAACTCTTCCAATCTAGTATTATCATCAATTATATGAAATTCCCAATGTTGATTATGCGAAAGATCATAAAGCATCATGAATTAATTTTTCAGATTCAGTTTTATCAACTCAGCATTGACCAATTTAGGATTGTGTATATTTATATTGGAAATTACACTGTGTGGCAATTGGATTCATTAAAATTATTGTCAGATATGTCGCAGTAGTAGTAGTAGTTGTATTTGATATTCATTTCATATGAATATTATGATAATTATCAATATTTAATATCATTACTTTCTCTGCATATTCAGCAAGTGTAAAATTAACAGTTTTAGCATGGTTTTCAGATATGATAGTTTTATGCTGTGTGATTATATGATATGTTGTAGCTAAATCTAGATTAGCAAGAGTATCTATAGAAGTATTAGAAATACCAGGTGAATCTAAATGCATTATCAAATCTCTTTTAGTATTATTAACAAACTTGTTTCGAATTTCACAAAGAAAGTAATATACTGTTGTGATATGAACTTTTAGTAGAATATTAATTAATTATATTATTGGTCACTTCATATCATAATATGATTGGATGAATAATTTTTTATATCTTATTGGACATTAGCTTTAGAAAATATTATTTGTAGATATTTTTAGAAGGTTTTGCAAACATGATGATCATGACAAAATTATCATAGCAAAGTTAGCAAAACTATCACAGCAAAACTAACAATGCTATCATAACAAA